CAGATACAATTCGTCAAAGTACTATATAATAACGTGAACATGAATAGTGAAAAGGAACAACAGCTAATAGAATATATTGAGTCTCTCGGATTTATTAGTGATCAGCTAAGGGAGGAAATTTTAGAGAAAACAAGGTCAAACCTGCCGAATTTTTCGGTACAGCATAAAGTTGAATTTGGTAAAGAGGCAATGTTCTATGACTTAAAATTCAAGCTGGATTCACAATTTCAGGCACATCGGCTTTATAAATACAACGCAACACACAGGGCTGAAATTAATATTGACCATAGGGTCATTAATGGATTTGACACAGAGGTGTTGGAGGCAAGGATGCAGCGTGAAGATTGGCGGGACTATTGCAAGCAGCAACAGAATTATCAGCATCCTGCGGACAATTCATTTGTTCAGGAAACTATTGCAATACTGAATAAAATTACGGAGGGACAAAATTCTGATGGTCTTAAAATTCAGGAGGAACTGATGTTCAAGTACTGGCCAGAAGAATTTTACGATCATGCATCTAAACAGGATTTAAAGGATCTATACGAACAAAGCCGAGATTTCAGACCGACAGAGGGTGAACCTTGCAATGCTAATTTAGCTTTCTACGTTGTTTCCGGATGTCTAATGGCCTTGTATGAATTTCTTGAGGCAACAGGTATAGAACAGTATCCAGGGACCAACCTTTACGGGAAGTTGGAGATGGCACTTTCGGACAATGCAGATGCATTCGAAATAACTGCGGGTTGGAGCCTTCCAATTGGTCATATTGACTTCTCAATTCCAGTAGGAAAGGATAATGGTGCATATAATGCAGACAGGATAATGGTTAGCTTAAAACAATACCCTGCCCTCGAACACGGTATCTATAATGAAGTTGATACCCGGAAGCTGGAGGAATTAATGATGAAAATAAACTGGGAAGACGACAATATTTTATTGAATGTTGATTCGGACCCTGAGTTCCGTCCTGATGTGGCGGTCATTCTGGAGCAAATGCATACGTTAGCTCAGGATCTTTCCGGTGCGAAAGTGGCAGATATACTGTCACTAAAATTCTGGCCCGAAAATTTGCTTTTCGATGGTCTTGTAACAGAAAGTGCGTGGAAAATTCTGGAGACTTTGCCAGTGATCAATCAGGAATTTCCTATTGAAGACAATACGACACTGATCAGCAATCTGATGTGTGGGAGACCGGTGACAGACAATCACATTGTACCTGGATTAAAAGAATCATCAAATTGGTCGAGGCTGGATCTAAGCGATAACAATCATGATGGGCACTATCCAATAATCCCTGTTAATGGCCAGCTATCAATCGATGACCTGTACCGTCTGTTAAGCCAGATACCCTTGTCCCAAAAGAGCCGTCACCAGATAAATCTGCTTACTCAGGGTGAACAGCTTATTGAAAAGTTGTCAAACGGAACCATTATCAGGATTGAGGCCAACCCGGAACGTGAAACGTTGGATATCTACAGCGCTGGTATGCGGAAGATACCGGTAAACCTGCATTTCGATCCTGATTGGAAGTCTCCAACGGAACAACAACAATATAGGATTGATCCGTCTCAGCAAAACACTAAAACATTACCGCAAAAAGCCAAAGAGATGACCAGAAAAAAAATCAAGGGCAGGAAAATGCCTTAACATTCTTACTGGAAAATTATCGGTAACCAAACTGCTTTCCAGATAAGATCGGATGAAAATGCACAGTAATAAATCAGGATTTATTAATCGAAAAGATACCCGTAAAAACAAGGGATTTATAAAATAAGTTTCGCTTAAAAACTTTTGATTGTTAAAAAAAACGCCCCTCAGTTTCGATTGTATCTAATCAAAAAAATAAAATATGGAAAGCAATATCGTAGCCTATTCAATAGATGATATGAAAGATTTAGCTGAGCAAGGCAAACGATTAAAC